GACAAGGAATCGGCGAGCTTCGGACTGAAGATGAATCGGGCAGCACTTCGTGTTATCGGAAGTGGTGGTGTCACGTCATTTTTATTGTCTGCTTCTGGGCGCTCATTGGCTGAGTGATGGCTGGCTCAGTTGCATAAAATCATGGAACGCTCATTCAAGGAGAGATTTTCGCTTCTGACGAGGAGTGGCATACTTGAGATTGAGACGCGGAGAGAATTGTAAATTTTATCTACCGAGTAGACGTACTGGACTCGGATATAGCTTTATTTATCCTTTATGTGCTTCCGACCAATTTCCACACAATGCCGTAAGGTTTGCAGTGATAGAAAATTAAATAAATAAATAAAAAATAAACAAATAATAACAACATGACTAAAATTTAATTTTTATAAATGGATGTATAGTCACAATGGGCGTATTTCAACCATCCAATCAGAAACCGTCTCGACTAGGATACAAACACCCTAGTCTAGTTGGCGAATCAGATAAGAAAACAGCTGCAAACCAGGATATAATGTCACTAATCGTGAGCTAATGGGAAGCATCACTTTCGAAGTGAATCTCTAGATATATATAACAAGATGGAAAATCAACCTAAATTAGAAACGATTACAATTGATTTTTTTCCATTTCCCGATTCTCTTGTCATCATAACATACCTAGAACCGAAATAAAACACATGTGCACCCCACTGGTGACATTAGACGCCCACACAGGCCGGCATTCAAATTAAAATATACATCCTTTCTTTCAGGACATTTTCAATCAGGCTGCTGTTACAATTAAAAGCATACATACAAGGTCCGGCTTTTTCAAAGGACGATCAAAATATAAATGTAAATAGACACACCAGCAAGTAGACATGCAGCCGACCCTCGTACCTTCTCTCACTATATTTCCAAGCAGGCGGCTATCACAATCAATTAATTTCAGTTCTAAATTCTAATCACCTGAAAAAGGCTAGAGCGTACAACGGCCGAAACGTCGTGAATATCGCAACGGAGATGAGGACAACAGTCCGAACAATGTAAATACCTCTCTCTCTCTCTATCTCTCTATTTTTTCTCCTCTCTCTCTCTCTCTCTCTCTCTCTCTCTCTCTCTCTCTCTCTCTCTCTCTCTCTCTCTCTCTCTCTCTCTCTCTCATATACATCTTATACACCGGGATATTTGCAATTGAACTCATGAAAATCGAAATTTCACTTTATCCTTCTATAGATATTGAGTTGGTACATAATAATCAGGCATTTTTGTAGGCGAGTTATTTGTTAAGAAAAATTCCTGCTTTGTTTGCTTTTCTATTAGAAAATATTATTTTATTTTCAGGTTATAAGAATGCGTACTGATTATGATACGCCCTGGAATGATCATTTAAAAAAACTTATTGTTGAATTGTTATGTTTCTTTTTTCATAATAAATATTGTTTCGAGAACGCCTGCACCAACCCAATTTTTGTTATATAAAATTTTATTTTGAATATATTAACACTGTGGATTTTATTTTAATTCTTACACAAGGCCAATAGACAAACCCACATTAGATGTATGGGAAGAATATACGTTGTCATAAGAACCCTCGACAACCACCATGGGGTATGTCAGCCGATAATAAATGTATGGTCTAGTCATCGGAAAATCTTATGCAAGGTCTCTGAACTTTTTTCAGATTAAAAAAATAAGATAGATAGATAGATAGATAGATAATTATTTATTTATATAAACTCTGTGATGGGTAAATTGTCGCCATTTTATATTTTTAATTTTGAGCATATTGTGTTGCTTGGTATTCGCACCGGAAGCTCCAATGCGAACATTTCAGAGTATTTGGGTGTCAATCTGAGGACAGTGCAGAGGATTCGGAATGAATTCGATGTGTCTAATCGGGATTACAAGGGTACGGCAGCTCGGAAAACTCACTCTGATCGTTCTGATAATAAAAGAACTTCAAAATTGTTTGTGAAGGCCTCAGACTCAATACGGAGGACTACATCAAGTTCCTTGAGGAGGTAGTGCTGCCTTGAGTCAAGAGGGTGGCTGATGGAAGACCAAATATTTGGCAACATGACTCTACATCATCTCACACAAGTAGGAGTACCCAGTCATGGCTGGCAGTCAATTTCTGCAAACATATCACCCTTTACATATGGACACCTAACTCCCTAGACAGCAACTCCGTTGTGGGGCGCAGTTAAACTAAAGACCGACAAGACTTCATATAACACAAAAGATGAACTGAAGACAAGGATGATGGCAGCATTCATCAACTTAAACAAGGAGATTGTCCAGAAGAGTTGCAGGAGATTCCGAAGTCGTCTGGAACTGTGATTGAAGCAATGGCAATTTTCTTGAACAAAATTACGCTTTAGTGTTTATTGTAATGCCCGTTTCTAGGAGAGACTTTGTAGCTCACAGATTTCAATAATAGAAACGCATTCGAAGAATAATCGATCAGACGCCGCTAATTCCATATATATATTTTTCCTTTACCCGTCACGTGATCTAATCATTTCAAGATGATGGCGACTGTACTTGCTCTCTAGCGATCACTCTGTTCCTATATGACAGTATTTTATGATATTTAGTGTAATTTTGATAAATATATCTGTTAAAATGAGATGAAAATGTTCTTTTCATTTTTGCATAATTTAAACGATAATTTATCCATCGCTCGCTGTATATATAATATTCATACTTAAAAAAAAACAAAAAAACAAGCCATATCAGTTTTATATAATAGTAGTCTTCCAGACTCTTCCTTCCGCTTTTCCATTCATTCCTGTCGAACAGACGAGCAAATACAAAATTTATCGGGAATGTCAATTATTTGCAAATGTATTCTCTTCAATACTGAATTTGGCTGCCCTTTATTTTCTATACAATTTTTAGCTTAGATTTTAAAACTTATTTATGTATCGTTATTAAAATTACCATTTAAAATAAGTACTGAGTTGGCTACATGACGGTAGTTTTATGGAAATACCGAATTAGCTATCTGTACCTGATTGTTAACATTTTTAAGCATATCACCCAAAGCAAGGCGTGAGTGCCACTAGCACGCAAGGGTTACAGAAAGTGAGAGGAAGAGTAAAGAGGGGGGTGTTTGAAGAAATGATATAGATAAGGACAGCATTCAGAATCAAGACATCAGAAGATGTCGATTGACATTACATTTGAATATTTGAAGATTAAAGCTATCAGGGAAGCAAGTAGCAAGAAAAGAATTCCACTGACGGGAAGTGCGAGATAAGAAGCTGTTGGAGTAGAAGAGACGGCTATATTTAACCATTTATTCAGTGAAAGGGTGGGACCGAGATGCCAACGTCGTAGCACGCTTAAATTCATGCAGTTTGGGATCCAGCGAAAGTAGCTTGTCAGAGTAGTTGACATGTTAATATTTGTAGAAAAGACAGAGAGAAACCACAGCACGTCACTGAGAGAATGACTGTAAACGAGATGCCAGATTAGGACCTATCACATTGCATAACATCTCGAAAGGTTTAAAGATACATCGAACTGTCAGTATCGCCAAAACATTTACTGATATAAAAATTGTCTACATTAGGAGAGCTTCACGAAAGTAAAAATTGCTGAAATCACTGAAGGGTTGAAAATTCTATGGATGTACAGAACGGTATACATCATAAAAATTTTACGAAAGCAATAAATTGTCTACACTTATTGTAGTTATTAATTTGATCTGTTCTTTATTGGTTTTGGCAAATAATTCTGATTCATCTGAATAACTTTTTGTGAACTGTACTTTCTTCTTTCTCCATGATAAGAAACATTCGATGACAATATTTTAAGCAAAAAAAAAAAAAAAATCATACGTACTATATAAAAAAATTAAATTATTTTTAGCTTAAAAGACGACCACGATATTAAAACCATCTTTTATCAGTGTTTTTTTTTCATACCGTAAGAAGAGTGCAATAATTACAATATAAAAACAAAACTTTGCTAACTTGGCTAGCGAAATCGCCAATTCAAGAAAATAAATTTGCGACTAAGTGTGAAGTAAATATTCAAGCAATGAGAGGTTTCGCCTTAGATTAACTAGAGAAACAAAGAAAGACATTCTTGGGCGTATGCTAGAAATAAATACTCAACCATTCAGAAGCGTCGCTTTTGGGAAGTTACAGAAAAAGAAAAGAAAAAATTCACGAGCTGGTGCAATAAAAATAAACTAGCATACAAACAGATACAGAGTGCTGAAAACATACATAAAGGAGAGACGTGGACAGAGAAGGACGCAAATATAACTCAACTTAGCAGTTGGCCTTTCAGTACATTGATGACAAATTTATTTCCACGACTCAACTTACAAAGAAAAAATTCTTTTACACAAGAAAAACTGAAGGACTGCTGTAATATAAAAAATCGTATTTCTTTCCCTTCGAACACTTCTTAGTAAAATGATACGTCATCTTCCTACCAGTCTACTTACATCTCAACCTGAGTAAGTAAATATATCCAAAATTGACTCTTTTCATCTACCAGCTTTCAAATAATATTCTCACACCACTTCAATTAACAACAAATTTTATTTTCTTGAGTATTATTTGTTCTTTGTAATTTTCGCTGAAAGATTAAACTTATATTTATCAAGAGATAATTGTTTCATACTAAAATGTGTTGCTAAAGTTATATTGTTATCACTAATCAAATATTGATTATATTACAATCAATAATTAGAGATTAACAAAGACAGAGGTATAGTCATTAGAATTTAAATTAATAGCCGTCTATTATGGTCTATAAATAGCAATGAAAAAGGTCCAGTTTCATTAAGGTGATTAAACTGAAAGTAGCTAGAGATGGGGACCGGAAATTTCAAAATATTGAAGCTGGAGGGAATATATTTCAAAATGTTGGAGCCCGTGTTGAGGATTTAGATGTCAACTCCACAACCTTGCATTTGAGCAGCCTTGTTACTTTCCGAAAACCTTATTTCCCTAGGTAAATTTCCCTTTCAACATAAAATTTACCTTACGTATTTGAAGCTATAATACAAATTTTACAACTTTAATAATGACGATGCCTCGTATTTTAACTGCTCATAGTATCTTTACCAATTTTGATTATATATATAATATGGACGCCTATTTATTTCCTGTTTTTACAGTTGTGAATCCACATTCTCGTATTTGACAAAAATCAAGAAATTGCTGAGAACGCAGTTGATAGATGGACATTTGGAAGAGCAATTAAAACTAACATTCATCATCTTAAAGCTTGATATCAAAATACTGTCTCAAAAGAAGAAATGTCAACGAAGCCATTAATTTGTCTAAAAGGTGAATAAAGCATTTCTTTGAACATGTCTTGTTTTACAGTTTTATAACATCTGTTTTTATTACGTTATATATTTATTAAGTTTTATTTTCTGCATTATATACCTTAGATATAAAATGTCTAACTTTAGAAATATCACTTGGTGAATCCGGCCTTTATGATGAACTATGAATTTCAATGTGGAATTCATGCAAAAAAGTTTCGATCTAAAAGTGAAGACATTCATGAATTTCCTTGTTCGTGGTGCTGCATGAAATGGGATTAAGCTCTTGAAATTCGCGTTTTGCATGCGCCATTTATGTTTTAACGCATGCCTATAATTCTGAGAATATTATCTTCTGCTAATATAGTTCTTAACGCATATGATTCTTGCCAAAGAGCTTGTAATGGTGAACGCATCTAAACATGTTGAATAGATTTTTTAAACCTACTTAATATCATGGTTGCCAAGGGAAATCACTATGCCTTTCATTTTTATTGTATATGAGAGTATTTATTGAAGTGTAACCTAAAATAGGAATGTGGGGGGGTCTTCATATGTCTTAAATTTAGCTACCCATAATCACTGACCCAAACATGCCACAATAATCTTTGCCCCAAATCACCACATTCTTCCATACCATTCTTATTGCATCCACCATAATACCTCATTGCCTCTATGACGTCTTAACTAGTCCCCATATGTATAATTATCTCTAATGAAATAGCAATTTTAAGAAATTTAACTCTGATGGATATTTACAATGAAAATAAATTTATATACAGAAACAAAACAAAATATTGTTAGTAATAGACATCTCACAATCCTTAAAGGTAACTGAAATGAATGAAGCCGAGTGCACTAAGGAGTTGACCTAGGGTTATTTCCGGTTGCCGAATAGGGGA